TCCTCAGGTACCTAGCCGTACTCCGTACACTAAGGTACACCACCCGACTACTGGGCTACTACCGCCCCTTCCACCACCCCTTCCACCCTTCAATCACTCAACTTCGCCCTCTCTCGCCTCCATTCACACGCACGCCGCCATCATTCCTCTCTCCACTTTACATCCTCACCCCCGTCCCCATTTCTCTCTCCCCATCTCCATCCCATCCATCCCAACCCGTCCCATCCTTTCTCACTCCTCGAGATTCTTCTTGTCCGACTTTATTCCTCCTTCTCTCCCCTCCCCGAAACCTTTTTCTCTTTTCAAACCTCCGAATCCGCCGTATCACGACGAAATTCCCTGTCCTCGACTCTGCACGATACTTCCCATCCATAGTCGTCGACAACACAGGATTCAGGTTCTCATCTCTCCTCTCCTCTGCCTCTGCACGATATTGTCGAATTCGATTGTCGCCTCTCTACAACAGCCCGCCTGCCCCCATTACAGGCCGACTACGATTTAGGTGTACGGCACTGAGCAAGAACCCAACGAACCGAGTCGACTTGATCGCGTCTGCTGCTCGACACTTGGAACACCTCCAAGTTACACCGTCCTTTTCGAATTCATACACCTTTTTACGGTCCCCTTCCTCAAGGTAAGCTACACTCTCAACACACACTGCGAAACCCCAATCCATCCAGAGCCACCCTGGAGAGCCTGGTTCACGAGCTTCATCCAATTATTCGACCCTCGAAATGCGATCAAATTCCACGAGCGTTATCGACAGAAGGCATGTTTCGGTATGGGCTCGAGACGTTCCCCCCATGTGCCTCGATCGAATCGACCTCAGTCAACGACCTGCCCTTGGCTTCAAGCACTGCAGTCCCAAACGGCCACATTCAAGCAGCAGCAAATGTTTCCTCCATGCTGGGTGCGCTGGAGCTACACAATGGTCACTGCATTGGTTGACCACAGGGGACCCCCTTCTTTGCCGCTGTCGCCTACGTCGCCTCCCAGCATTTCTTCACTCCAATACCGGCCCGCCACTACTTGACGCATCATTCGACGAAGCTTGTGTATCAGACTCAGGCACAGACAGTCAAAGTTTTTTGATTTCCTGGATATTCTCGCTGACCATTCACCAAACAGGACAGAGCTGCGGCTTTCCATTTCCTTTGCACAACTTTCTTCGTCCCGTCTATCGCGGCCCTTAGAACTACTCTGACGCCCTCGACGACCTTTCTCCGTTCAAGCATCCTTTTCCCGAGTCAGCCATCACTGCATCTCTTCCCCAACCGAGATACATATCTTCCGTTGGGTCTTTTAGCCGTCATCAACTAGCGACACGACTGCATCTTTTCCATCTACCGGATCTCTAGACATCTTGTTTCTCCTCCCCTCGTCGCGATTTCAACCCTTGATGGCTATTCGCAGCTACTAAGGGCTCGTGTCACCAACCCTCTCACCCAACCGACACACCGACTCCATCGGCCTTGGACATCCATCGCTAGCACGACGCGGCATTTCTCCCACTGCTAAGTGTCTTTTCCGAGTACATCGAGCAGTATCCCCAACCCGACAAAGATCCACATTCGATCTTCGTCGGACTACTCTCAATACCGCCATCATGCCCGGAGGTGTCTGTGCTGTCCTCGACTACGAGGTCGACCAAATGGCCGAGTTCGTTGCCGAGATGGCCACTCGCGTTGTTATGCCGCTGTCGACCACGGTCGTCACGCCCCCGTTCCGCAAGTTCGTCTCGCAGATCCTCTCATCGACGAGATTGCCCAAGAGCACCATTCTCCTCGGCATGAACTACCTGGCGAAGCGGGTCAACACCCTCAAGCAGAACAACCCCTCGTACACTGTACCCGAGGGACAAGTTTGGCGCATGCTGACCGTGTCCCTACTGCTTGGCAGCAAGTTTTTGGACGACAACACCTTCCAGAACCGTTCTTGGTCTGAGGTGAGCGGCATCCCCGTCGCCGAGCTCAACGCTCTGGAACATGAGTGGCTCGAGCAATCCGGCTGGCGTCTCTACGTCAACCTGGATTACAGCGCGGACTACAAGGCCTGGCTCACCAGCTGGGATGAGTGGAAGGTCCTCAAGGACCAGGCTGCGGCAAGAGTCACCCGCGAGAGACTCGTCCCCGCCATCGACACCAACATCAACACCAGATACGGTGGACGATCCTCCTATCATACGTTTGTTCAGCAGCAGGCGGCTGAATACGAGCGCTACGAGGCTATCAAGCGCAACGAGCTGGCCCACCAGCAAGCCTACGGTGGCAACTGGAACTGGCAGAATGCCCCGCTCACTCCTCCCGATTCTGGCTACGGCACGCCCGAGTACATCAATTCAGCCACCTCTGCCAACGCTCGCTACAACGATTGGTTCTCTCAGGCCGCTACTACGGGCCAGTGGAACACTCGCTATCAGCAGCCATCGCACAACTACTACGGCCACCGCCACAACCAACAGAACTTCCCTGGACACTATGGTTACCAGCAAACCATGTGGGAGCACGGTGTTGCGGAGTGTAGCTGTGCGAACTGCGTTGGTCCTGCCAAGGCATCTTCGTACTTCGCTCACCCTAGCTTTGGCCAGCCTGTAATGGGCTAAAGTTGTGGCGATATCTGGCAGACTCACTCAATCGCCTTACGGAACTGGAAGGGATTTTTGCTATCGGAAAAGTTTGGGAGGTCCAGCGTCACCGGAGACGCGGACTTTGTTTTTTTTCTGGCATGAACGATACATTTGCATTCTTCAGATACCCTCTCACGACGAGAACCGAAAGAAGCGGTTATTTGACCGAATGGTCCACACGTCGGCATTCGACTTTACGACACGGGCACGTTCGCCCCCTTCGATACCATCGCTACCATACGCGATTGACTTGGCTACTAGATTGTCTCGCAGCCACAATGCGTTTGGAGGTGGATGGTTACGACGCGCGGCTGCGACCCTTAATGACATATTTCTTTAATTCTTTCCCCCCCCTGGTATACGGATAAATTCATTACTGGCGTTTCATGGTCGCCATCCGCGATCCCCACACGGAGTTTTCATTTCAATAGATCCTTTGGCTGTGTTTTTTTCCGGTGTGATGGTGGTGGTAGTCTATTGGGATTCGGCATTCTCTCGATTACTCAATTCTCTTATATCGACTTACGACCTCGACTGGTTATTCTCTCACGTCGGCGATACCGCCTGTGCGGTACACGTGATAACCACACGCAAACGACCTCGCGACAGCAAGTCTCCGAGTTTCGATCCCCGAGTCACTCAACGATGATCCATCGCCAGCGACATCTATTTCCTTTGTGGCATGCCAAAGAGACCATCTTGTTTTTCTGTAATTCAACCTGTTTCCAGCAGCAACCCGGCTCTCTGCCCCGGTTGTACTCCGTCTGCGAAAGGCGGAAAATTTCAGCTCTCAATTCGACAAGACCTCACGGTCATTGGCGCCCGGCCTGTCGGCGCTGCCCCCCCCAAAAAAAGACGAAGTGCATCAAGTAAAGGGTACATAGGATCATATTTCACCTTACTGGCTGGCTTTGCGCGGGCATACGATTTTCTATTTGCGAGAACGAAAAAAAAAGGGAGACTCAACATGGAGAGGTGTTCTGCATTCATGTTTACTGGTCAAAATTGGGAGGCAAAGCCTTCAGGATGCGGGTATGGAGTCTCTTTAACTTTTTACTTTGTTTGGCATTTCTTGTTCATTCGGCACATTGGCCCGTCTCATTGCCCGAAAGGCACAATGTTGGGGGTGCTACTGCTGTTTCCACGCCTTTTACTGTTCATGACATTGTTAGACGTTATTTTTTATTTTCTCTTCATGCCAACTTGTACCGGCTTCCACTAGAGCGTTCGGGATCGGGGTTGGAGACATTCAGCTTATGGGAAGGCAGACCACCTGTTCTTCGACATGAGGATGGCAATGGGAATGGTGGTTTTGCGGATATGAAACCAACGAACCAGAAAGCCGTCGGGACTGGTGCTAGATTTGTACGTCGCCCAGTGGGCTGCTGGTTAACTAGGCATATCGCCATGGGTATCGGGTAAGCTATGACGTGAGTTGCATCAGTAGCAGGATTGGAAAAGTTTTCGCCGAAAGGACGAGATTGGAAAAGGAAAAAAGGGATGGAGCACACAATGGCATACCCGTGGGCGACGACAAAGACATGGCCTATTTAGTGAAGACGCACTGGCAGATAACAGTCCTAGACAACTAAATAAAATAACAAAACATGATGACGCAAACACAGCTTTCCCCAATGTCTCGAGTTTGACTTGATGGATGTGTGAATTTGAAGTGCAATGAGAAGCTCAATGAGAAGCTCATGCTTGTGAGGAGGAATTGGGTGTTGACCTATGGAAGTGACCAGGCTTACTTTTGATTGGACTGCTGCCCCACTCCAAAAAGGACAGCGACTTTTCTACTCCCTGATTCGCCCATTTGCCAACGTTTTGTTCTCCAACTTGTCAACCTCGACCTCGGCCTCATCCTCTCACTCACTCGAGATACTCGCCCACAGACACACACCTTCTTCAACCACACCTTCTCTGCTCGACCAGAGAGAGACTTCAGGACAGTTAAATCTTGATGCAATCGCATCATAGCTGGGATATTTTTATTTTTTTAAATCTCCGATCAGGAAAAATCGTGACGGCTTGTGAGGCTGGCTTAGTCTCCCTCCGTCTTGATACCTCCATACGTTACACAAGCGCTGGGCGGGCAGCTCGAAGGTAGCCCTTGTACCCACGCAAACACAAGAGAGAGAGAGCCAGCAAGACCGAAGACCAAGTCCTGGGTAAAGAGGAACTTTCGAAGCTGTATTGAGACGGAAGCCTGGTGTTTTGATTCAAGAAGCAAAATCAAACCTGTATCTTTTTTGCTTCGTCTTCCTTCCTTCTGTTGCAGACGGGGGAGAGTTTTTCCCCATTTCTGCTCAAGATAGAGTTCGGAAAAGAAAGATAACCCGAGAGAGAGAGAGAGGAGGAATACGTCACAACCATGTCGAGATTCGTGTCAGCGGGGGCTATCAACGCCGAAACGGGCGAAGCCGTAACCCAAGACCCAACCACCACAACCTCATCAACTCCAAATGCCGGTACTGCCGCCGCCGCCGCCGCCGTATCAGCCCCCAAATCCGCCGCCGAATCCAAAAAGAGCGCCGAGTGGGAAATCGTACAGAAAGAACTCGACGCCGAGCGCAAGAGGAGGGAGGAGGCGCGGGTGAAGTCCGTCGAGGGCGGGGAGAAGAGTTTGTATGACGTCTTGCAGGCGAATAAAGCCGCGAAACAGGCTGCTTTTGAAGAGGCGAATAAGATTAGGAACCAGTTCCGCGCGCTGGACGATGATGAGATTGATTTCTTGGATGAGGTTAGGGCGAATAAGAGGGCTGAGGAGGAGAAGGTGAGGAGGGAGACGGAGGAGGGGCTTGTTGCTTTTCGGAGGGCGCAGGGCCCGAAGAGGTTGCTTGGTGATGGGGGTGGGGGTGGGGAGGAGAGGGTTGAGAGGACGGATGAGAAGGGTGGTGAGGGTGAGGGCGGCGATGGGGAGTGGGCTGTTGGGCCTAGGAAGAGACGGAGGAAGGAGAGGGAGAGGGGGTTTGGGGTGAAGAGGGAGAAGGGGGATGAGAATAAGGTGGATGAGGAGAAGAAGGCGGATGAGAAGAAGAAGGCGAGTGAGAAGGCTGATGCTGAGAAGGGAGCTGTGAAGGAGAGTTCGACTGGACCTGCGGCTACACCTGCGTCTGCACCTGCGCCAGTGAAGGTGAAGCCGAGTCTTGTTGCGTACGGATCCGATTCGGATGATGAGTAAAGGGTGGAAGTTCATGATGCTAGGAAAAAAGTGTGGTCTCTTGTCCTAGAGTATTCGAACGGAAGTTATCATCATCATCATGGTGGTGGTGGTGCTGCTTTGCTGTAGATGTTTGATACCTACTTCATTCTTGGCGTGCTCTCGAGCAAGTACATACCATCACGATGCACCAGATGGGCATTATGCCGGAGAAAAAAAGAACATGGTGGAAGAAAAGAGGAGTGTACAGTAATATTCGTTACAAGCCAAGGCAGATGGCATTCTTCTCGGCCAACGAACCTATAGTCTATGATAACCTCCCGTGCTCCAACCCATGCATCGAATACGGAAAAAGGGAGGAATATGGAAGAAGAAGGAACGAGAAATGACAAGCTAGAATTACAATATGCTGTGAAACCCCGTTTCCCCAATCGCTTTCTCTAGAGCTGTGTGGGGTGGTGGTGGTCAAGATAGTTATACATCATCTCCTTTTTCTTCTCCTTCGTCATGTAGAAGAGCCAAACGGAATGAGGGAGAGAGGAAGAGAGAGAGAGAGAGAGAGAGAGAAGATCTTTACTCGTCGTCAATGTTTCCAACATTGGGCCCCTTACGCTCCTCCCCCTTGACGACACTCCACCCCCACGTGCCCAAAGACCGCAGCGTGCCCTTGATCCAGCCCTCAATCTGCGTCTCAGGGATTACAATCGCCTTTGCGCGCTCCTCGTCCTCGGCCCGGACCTCGAACCGCCGCATACGCTGCGCGATGCGCGGATCAATGACCATGGGCGAAGCCCAGATGCGCTCCTTGGTCTTCTCCTCCTCGTCAGCCGTCGCCTCGTCGACGGGCTTCCAGACGGATTTGACCCAGTCGCGCTCCTCGTGCGCCAGGGCGCGCTGTTGTTCGTACGGCGTGGGAGCAGAGTCTTCTGCTGCGGCTGTCTCGGGTTCGGCGTCGCGGTATTCGCGGGCGTGGGCGAAGCAGGCGGCCGCGACTTGGCGGCCTACGTCGTCTGCGAGCTGGCGGCGGTTGAAGAAGCGGCCCATGCGGGTGAAGGTGCCGGCGAAGCCGAGGAGGTGGGGGAACTGGACCGGTTCCGAAGGGGAGAATTCGGCGGGGAGGGTTGAGGGGAGGTGGGAGGCTGAGTAATCTGCCGTGGTGTTGTAGGGGACGGGTTGGCGAGGGCGGTCTGATTTCTTTTCTTCTTCTTTGGGCTTGTCTTCCTCCTTCTTTTCTGCCTCGACGGCACCGCCCTCTGTTTCTGTTGATGGAGCATCCGAGGCCGCTTCTGATGTTGTGGGCTCAGGGGTAGAGACTACCTCGGGCTTGGGAGGCGGGTCGAGGGGACCCAACCAGCCCTCGTGTAGGCCGCGGATGTACTCCTTCCACGCGTGTCGCCCGATGACGATGTCGCCCCCGGGACCCTCAAACTCGGGTGTGTTGTTCTTGGCGCGGATGGCGTCGCGGATATTCTCCTCAGTGGGGAGCAGCTCGACCTCGGGCCTCTCCTCCCTGCTCCTGCGCCTCCGAATCTTCTCCGCTACGGCGGCGCGGACGTCACCTTGCTGCCGGCCCTGAACAAACTCCCAATCCAGACCCGAAGCGGCCAGGATGGGCTTCACGTACTCGATGAAGTGGTCCTGTGCGACGCGCAGACCGTCGCCGGGAGGGGAGGCGAGGATGACGGTGAGTTTGCGCGGCAGCTGGGAGGGGTCGGTGACGGGTTCGCTGGCGAGCGGGGAGACGGCGGCGGCCCAGCGGGCTGTGGCGCGCTTCTTTTCGCGCTTGTCGTAGATGATGGCCGAGGAGATGGCGCCTGTGAGGGAGAGGAAGATGAGCCAGTTGCGGGAGGGTAGGCGTTTGGGAGGGCCGCGAAGGCCCATCATTTGCCAGACTGGATTCGGTTTCGCAGCTTTGTAGCCTTCTGCGGCAGAGGTGGCTGTTGCCGTGGTTGTGGTGGTTGTTGTCGCGGCGGTAGGAGTCGGGGCTTTCGGGGCCGCCTGGGAGATACCATTGTCAGTCTGGAGGTTCGTGACGGTGATGGGCACCGCTGCTTGCTTACCTCGGGCGGCGTGGGGTTCGAGTCCGCCATAGTGGGTTAATCTTAGGAAATGACAATACTAAGGAGTTTCCGTGGATGGCGATGTAATCTCGCACTCAAGATGCGATTGTGAAATCGGTGGCTCGCAATGCCTCGAAATGTCCTACCTCAGGCCAGGAGAATGGGAGTGAGGTTTTTGGAAATTTTAGTCGCGATAAGAGCTTCGCCGAATTATCGGACCTATCTGTCCCTAAACAGAATAGCGTGATATCGGAATTGACCGCCTTCCATAAATGGAATAGTTCCACAAGGGACGTACCGAGGGAAGCTGTCACGGCATCTTCCTCTCCACCTCAGAGCCTCTTCCCCTTCTTCACAACCGTGACACGTTAGATGTACCGCTAGGCCAAAGATGAACTTCACAATCGCCTGTATTGGTGTAACGATATTCCTTCTCATGCATTTTTGCTTGAATCCCGACCCCGGTGAAATGCTGCCCATGTAACGGGCGCTACACCAAGACCCACGTTGGACCAGTTGTCTGGCGATCCTCAAAGAAGAGTGGCAGATCTTGATGCATGATCGACCCCTCTGCACAGTGACAGCACAAAACTCGCGATGGCAGGCAGCTGCATGGTGGATGGGGCGTCGTCGGGCCGTGGTCATTGGGCGACGATGGCAGCGAGCATGGAGCTCAATCATGGATCACTAGGTAAACCTGATACAGGCACAGGGCATCACTCGAACCCGGCGACCGTCCTCCGACCGAGAGCTTCGTCATCCCAACCGAGAGCATAATGTGTGGCGGTGCGCTAGGCTTGTTGGTTTCTCCTGTGCTGCCCACGGGATTCCGCCATACGAGGTTGAACGCGGTGGTTTGGGTGACAAGCGCGAGACATTGGGGCCATGGATTGTGCGCTGTGAACGGGAACACGGCGTAATCGACAGAGAGAGATGGTGCCAAGGTCGCCAGGATGCTAGTGACATGCACCAGACCGCGGCATCCAAGATGGAAGAGCAGGAATGCCATGCCATGCATACGAGGACGAAGAGTGTAACGCTGCCATGTGCCACGGATAAGCTTGTGAGCTTGTTCCTGTGACGGGTGTGACAATCGTATACGATTTGCAGCGGATGGGAGCGGGGCGGCAGGCATTCAAAATGCTATTTATTTCCAGAGCCGTGTCTCACGGCGGCTGTACACGGCCGACGATGCTTCGTGCCGATGCCGAGCGTGAGCCAGGCTGTTGGGCTGGGTGGGTACGGTAGAGGACGACGCCGCCGCCGGCGGACCGCTCGGTTATGAATGAGTTAGCTGTTGGCCTTCATTCCTACTTTGGCGGAATGTTGGCTAGAATTTCTTTTTGGTCTTTAGCCGTGAGAGGACCCTGTTGGAGCCTGGGGTCCAAGTGACGTGCGGATGCGGGCGAGACGAGACGGCGACGGGAGAGATGAACTGGGTGGAAGGGATAGCCATGCTTGTGGGTTAGGCGGGCAGGATGCGTAAGTGATGCGACCGCTTGAGCTTTCCGAAGGGCCAAACGGGTTGGCCATTCACAGACGTAAAGAAACAATCCGAACTTTCAAGTTAGGCTGTCCGTGTCCGGTTGATACCCCAAGTAACCTTGCGGCAAGGCACTTGACGTGCTCCGGTTGGAGAAGGGATTCGGCGAGATGGCGGGACGATGTTGCACGGGGAGAAGTGAAAAGCCAATCGCGGGTACAGAGACTGAAGATGGCGGTGGCACTGTGAGCAGTGTCCTATGGGTAGTATCAAGCGAATTCTGGATCTCAGCAGAGGTCTCAGGTGGTGTGTCTGCTTTCCGGTGAAGAGGGGCGGTCATCTGAAGAGTGAGGTTGGAAGGTGAGAGACGATTCGGAAACAGAGGCCTGAGATGCGGTAGTTGCAACAGAGTTTCCGCTGGCTACTCGAGGTCCCCGGGGGAAAGTCAATGACTGAGTCGAGTGAGTCGGATTGGAGCTTCAGCTACGGGGGCTAGCTGTAGCATCCGGATCCCGATACGTTGGCGGGCCGAGTTCCATGATCCATGGCACACGATGCTGTCGAACTGGACGTTGAGTCTGGAGTATCAAGATGAAATTCAAGAGTCGGTGAAAGGGGGGAGAATAAGCGAGTCGTTCAGGTGCAAGTACTTTTTCATAGCACGGAGTAAGGCAAGGTACATCATACTGGCAGTCTCTTGCCAATTGCTCAGCACATCGTCCGCGCCCCTCCTTCGTCGATGTTGTTTCCCGCCCCGCACATTTTGTGGGTCCCGGCCGATGATGGAGATGTCTGGGAAAGAGCTAGAAATGCAATGTAGCAAGATGCAAGGTGGACAGTGCATGGCATAAGTATTCAACGATATGTTTTGGGTTCAAGAGCATCAAATACAAAGACTGTAGTAAACAACACCTACGGATAGACTGCTAGGAAGTGCACAATGTAGCAAGTGTCATCCTCACAAGGCATAAGGCCAGATGCCAAACCTCCAAGTGGAGGAGGTGCGGCGGAGGCATATCCAGAATCCCAGTGGATGCAGCTCCGACCCCACCCCACCCCGCTCATCGGCCACTCACAACTCGGCATTGGTCGAATCTCAGGGGTACTTGGGGTCCAGCGAGGCCCCTCGACTTTCAAGGCCGCGGCGACGCCCCCCCCCCCCCCCAAAGCAAGCCCCCAAGTGCCCCCCTCCCCTGAGTTCTCAGATCCCCGCCTCGCCTCAGGTGCTAGTAGTGTGAATTTTTACCTAGTGCGTGAGGTGGTGCTTGTGGCAGGTGCGGCGTGGGACGTGGTTTCTCTTCAGGAGTCCCTTCCCTTCCCGTCACCCCGTCTGGTCTTGCCCTTTTCTTTTGCTGCAGCGGGCTGCATACCTTCCTTCCAAAGTTAGGGGAAGGAACATCCTACGACACTGACGTTGAACCCAATTGCATTCCTTCCTTCCATCCAAGGCCTATTTACTGTACCTAGGTACCTTACCT